GTCAAAGATGGTCAAATTGACCAAATTGGACCAAGGTGTAGTGGGACAAAATGAAATTGGAAATATTTTGAATTTATTGGGATTTTTTGGGAATTTTTGGAGTTTTTGGATTTTTGGGTCATGGAGGGGCATTTGGGTAATTTGGTCATTTTTGGGAATTTTGTCATTTTTGGCAAATTTGGATGTATTCAAAGTGTTTGGAATGAGTTTTGATCAATTTTGGGTATTTTGGCAAAATTTGGGAATTTTGGCCAAATTTGGGTCTCAAGGGCAGTTAGGTAATTTAGAGGTGCCTAGGGGCAAAAGACCAAGTTGGGCATTTCAAGTGCAATTGGGTAGAGAACCATTTTGAATGAGTCATGGATCAATGAAATCTCCATTTTGGGTCCCCATGTATTGGTCTTAGCCAGAGTATAGTGAGGGTATGGTGTACCTTAGCTCCAAATCAACACCCAGGGTCAATCCTAAGGTCAAGTAGCCCTATAGAAACTCTCCTTGAGTTCCCTCATAATGATCTTACCTACTAATTGCTAGAGGTTAGGACTAATATGTGGAACTTCAAGTTGAGTAAAGAGAAGAGTTTTGAGTTTCTAACGGAGAGGGTACCTTTTCTAGTTTTCTAAGACTCGTCAGTAGGAAAGTCCTATGGCTAGACCTCGGCTACTAAAGAAATTTCTAGACCTCAACCAAAAGTGAGGTCAACAAACATACACTCTCTCTAATTAATCAATAGTAATGACTAGCACAAAAAAATTATTTTTGACCTTAATGCTTAATTTTCTAGATGTTAATTTTGTTAATTCACATTGTTACATCAAGCTTATGTAAGAGAATGACATCAAACAAAATATTTTCTTACACAATCAATAACTAGATTGGCTCAATAAAGAAACATATAAACAAACTAAAGAAAAATAAGTGCAATGTAGTTGCAACTATTATAAGTACCATTTTTCTTCATTACATTTATGTATAATTAACAGGTCAAAAAAATAGGACAATAAGTAAAAAATAAAAAAAAAATGATAGCAAAGAGTAGGCAACTACGAAGCACTCTTTTCATTAGGTTTCCCATCATCTTTGGCTTCTTCGCTAGTTTGCTTCACATATTGTAAAATTACCTTATAAAGTACTTTGAGATCACACAACGTTGAAATGAGAACCATCAAAGACAACCAATTGAGGCCAAATTTAAGATGTGCCTCTTGGTGTTGACTTGAGACATAAGTTGAGTTTTACTTTAGTAACTCTATAAACTCCTGAAAAGTCTTTCGCCTATCTTAGAAAGAGGTGATTTCTTGGTGAGTAGCCTTAGGTTAGGCAATTACGAAATTAAGGGTAGTTTCTTTTACCGAGAATTACTTTTACCGAGAATTACTTACTAACTTAGCACTATTTTTTTCATAGTTGTCTTATGCTATTTTTATTACAATTAGAGAGTTTTCACTTTTCAATGGTAATCTCTTTTTTCTAGTAAGTTTTATTTGGCCTATCTCATTGTATTCAACCACTCATTATATTGGTCAGCCGACAAAATCATGTATTGCTAGTTAAAAATCATATTTTTGGTCTCTACAATGAGTAAGGGAAATCTCATCCTTGAAGTGTGATTCTAAGTAGATATCTATCCCCAACTCCAAAGCTAAAAAATAATTTGATAATGTAATTGATGGTATAGCTGATTACAGTGTACTTTGTCATTATGTCATAAGTGAATTAAAACATTAACGAGCTACCTTCACTTTCTTGTGGTTCACCCTTAGGGATCCCTCCTTAAATTCTTTTAATTTTCTTTAGTTATTTGATTTCTAGGTAGCCCTAACAATTTTTCTCTCCTCATTTTTTCTTATCATAGCAGGTCAACAACATTTCAATTGGTAAAAGACCTGCCCCGTAGGTATGGGCTTATTTGACATTGGTAATATGGTCCATAAGCCCTCCATATTTTGCACATGACCTTTTGAGAGCAGCCCCC